GTCAAGAAATGACGCTTCGTGATTGGTCAGCACCCGACAGCGCAACATGTCCCTAAACATCAGCCGTTAGCACACACTCAGAGCTCACAGCTCCTCATATCTGTTCAGAAACTGGACAAAAGTTAAACATGTACAAACCACAGACTGTCTGTGTCATGGTGAATACTCTCACTGCTTTATTTATTTATTTTATTATTTCTGTCTTTAGGACGTTGTTGTGAGTTTGGACGGAGCAGCTACAGGTTTAGCCTGATCGATCCGATCTCCATTCAGAAAACATGCATTTGAAAAGGGTTTTTTGCCTGCCGTCTTGTCTGCAAACTTGTCAAAGCATTAATTCATGGTTTTTACTGATCGTTATCAGTATTTTGTTACTTCGGCATCATTTTGAAACGTGTATTACAATTAAATCACTGTAAAATATGTTAATGTTGTAGTAGTTGATTTCTACCACAGTATTTACATGGATATAAGCCCCGACCCCTCTCCAGCGAGTCTTGTTTGAATGACAGGAGTAAACACAGTTGACAGCTGCGGTGAAACTCCAGCGATTAGAGCAATGCGAATATTCACCGGTGGGAACGCAGCATAATGTAGTTCAGAGACCAGACCACTGCTCTGACGCTTTTAAAGCAACTTCGAGATGTTAACCATGTGAGGGGCACAAAGGCCAAGGTGGCCGTAGGACGTACAATTATTTGTGGGGCATAACGGCCAGACCGAGGGGCAACGACGGCCATGGCCGTCATGGCCGCCGTGAAATTTCTACCCTGCTTGCTACCCAACCCTTGACCAGAGCAATCACAATATATTTATACACACTCTTGTGAAACTTACCGGAAGCCAGTTTGGAGTACTGGCGCGAACGTAGGGAACTATTTTCTCTGGAAATTGCTGTTGGTATGTCGGGCTGTGATACCGTCTTGTCACGCCTTCCTCTGGTGAGGCCCCAACGATCCCATCGTGATCTACGCTCACCCTCTGCAGCTGAGCGAAAAGAACACAACATATAGAAATCGTCATGTATTTAAGAACGTGCAATTGATAATCCTCTAGTTAAACGAATACATTTCCGAATAAAGATGTATTAGTTTGCTTCATACCCTTTGTTTCTGACTTCAGGCTGGCCATAGAGTCTAGAGACTCTGAAGATGCTCCATTACTGGCCTGAGCTGCCAGCTGGTTCTGAGGAACACTGGCAACCTTCGGAGCTCGGCTTTCTGATGTTGCACGACGAAGCATGGAAAAAATGGGCGTCCTCTTGGGGTCCTTGTCCTCTGATGCTCTCCTTTCCTCTGAGAAGCTTCGAATTCTTGTGGAAATCCCAGCCACCGTCGATTCAATCTTTCTGCGCATTGCCAGGACCGGTGATTCATTAGGTTTCTTGAGCTCCTTATCATCTTGTTCAGACAACACATTACCTTCACTATCTTTGTGCGCCATCTCCACTTCCTTCTTTTCCTGTGACCCCCTTCTGCCGATAGTCCAAGAAAGCCTACGTCTTGAAGAATCTTCTTCTTTGGTCGCTTCCTCCTTGCGTTCAGCTGACGGCGCTCTCTTCAGGCGCATAGAGAGCCTTTTCATAAAGCCTTGGTCCTTTTGAGCTTCACGAAGGTCCTGGACTGACTTACACTTCTCCTCAAGTCTCCTCGGTGCTAATTCCAAAGGTGCACCAATCGGCCCAGGTCTATATATCTCTTCGCCGGACTCTGCGGAGTCCGATGACATCGCTTGTGATTTGTCCTCATGCTTTGACCGTGACAGAAACTTTAGACTTCTTGACAGGGAAGACTCGCGTTTTTTGAAGCGGGCCTCAAAGACCTCTTCAGAGGATATGTCCTTAAAGTCAACTCCTGCTGGGGTCTCTTGTTGGGATGATGAATGTGTGGTAGTCCTTGGTGGAGTGGGTTCTTTTGTCATCATTTCTGGTGACGCTACCCTGGAGAATACAGCAGGGTGCTCTGTGGTTGATATGATGGCTAGCTTTGGTTGACCAGGTAAAGCAGAGGACATGCCGGCTGGTGAATATGTGGGCACACTTGATACTGAGGGTGACATAATGGCTGGAACCACAACAGGTGTAGAGGGGCTTAAAGGTTGGTCATTTAAAGGCTGAACAGCAGGGACCATGATGGTCTGCATAATGCTTGCATATGCTGAAGTCCTTCCATTTGGAAGAGTTACTACAGGAACAGAGGATCTAACATAAGTAGGCAGAACCATTGCCGATGGATGGGAATATTCCTGTGTTGGTCTCACTATAACTGAGCTTGTGGTTATGATCATATCAGAAGATTGAGCAGGCATATTTTTTTCTTCAACATTTCCTTTGACAGTGCCGACAATTATTTCTTCTTCTTTCATCATCTCTTCTTTTTCTTCTTGCACATCTTCTCTCACTACTTCTTCTTCCATTTTCTCTTCTAGTGTAGAGCTTTGAACCACAACAGGTGGTGTAGCAATTATCTGGCCCGTGTACTCTGATTCAATCATTGTTTCTTCTGATATGCTCATGTCCTTCTCTGAGAAACCACTAGTGCTCGATCTCTCATCAAAATTACTATCTGTGGTCATCCCTTCCATCTTTTCATTCATGTTGTCATCAGGCTTTATCTCCTTCTCCATGAAAGATTCTTCGCTTTCCGCTTTGATTGGAATTTCCTGCACAACAGAGTCTGGTGTTGGCGGCTTTGGCGAAGGATCCCTGGGAGTCACTGGACGGGAGTCTAGCTTGATTTGCTCAGTGAGAGATGACATAGATATAGCCTCCTTAAGCCTTCTCTCTTCCACCTGTGCCAAAGGAATCTCCAAGGGAGCTCCCAACCGGCGGTGTAGAGCTATGGGTTCTGAATCACCCTGACTGAAAGAAGCAGTTTTGCGCAAGATTTTTGGTTTTAGATCATCCTCCATTGCAGAATCGCTGGATGATGCTCTAATTAGCGGGGGTGGGCCCAAACGTGCAGTACGAGAGTAGCGATCTGAAGATCCTAATGTTTCCAACAGAGGTCCTCTTAGTCCACTCATATTTTTGTCTACAGAGCCTCCACGAAGCAGCCGCTGTCTCATCATCTCCAGTTTAAGAGCGTAGTCTTCTTGACTCATATTGGCAGTTCCTGGACTGGTGCTCCTCCTTGGTAGCTCCATAGAGACGGCTTTCTTGAGAACTCTCCTTCCATCCTCTTGGATTCCTTCTCCAGTTCCTTCCTCAGGTGTGATTTTTAGCAGCAATGCACTGTCGGCAGAGCCTCCACGTCTTAGCTCTCCTCTTCGTCGTCCACCTTCTGGTTTGTCTGGTTTGTCAGAGTCCATACTCGAACCCCTGCGTAGGGGTTTTCTAGTCACCTGTGACTTTTGAGGCAATTCAGCGGGTGATTCTTCATCTGAGGAACCTTTATCATTGTCTTTTGGTGACCTTTTACGCAGGCGACCTTTACCTGTTATTTCAACCCCTTCTTTATCCATTTCCTTAGTGTCACACTCCATTGCTTCCTGGCCTTGAACAGGAGACCCAGACAACTTACTCGTACCATCCTGCTTCCCTGTGTCTTGCTCATTTGTTTGGATGTCATTCAGCGACATCCTTGATCCAGAAAATTCCATGTTAAGAGGCATTGGAATAAGTGGCAGTTTATCAACGTCTTCATTAGAATCTGAAGATGAAGATGGCATAGGTGAAGTTTCTTTGAGGTTCCTGGGGACTGCAATGGAGATATGGCTGGAGGAATCATTCAGCAGCTCAGGTATGGACCTCATGACCATTTTTGATTTATAGCTGATGAGTGAACGCTGTATGAGAGGAAGTAAGAAAACATTCAAAGATGTGACCATTGAATGATACTAGGCATTCAAGGTATAATGCAGTATAGAAATATCCTATAAGCAACAAACATCTCTCACCTGCCATTTTCTCCGAGATACAAACTTCCTCAGGGCCTCTGTACTTATGGCCTTCCCCTTGCTAAGTATCTGTATAAACAAAAGACAATTCATGTGATTTAAAAAAGTAGAAATGGGGCCTTTCAGTATCGTCAATAAGTAGTTACTGGAGAAAGAGTTAAGTATTGTTAACGCTGAATAGTGAAGTACCACTGGTCTTGTCTTACCTTGAACCAGGGGTGTCTGAGACATCCTTGAGTATCAGGTCTCCTGAAAGAAAATGATGGCAGATTTCAGTCATCAACTTTATGCAAATTAGTTTTTGCTATCTTGAATGAATATCACCAGTGGATTAATATGTGAAAGTTGCAGATAATAATGGACTATATGAATGCTAAATGTTCTTAATAAGGATCTCATATAGAGATAAATCATTAATATAACCATTTATTAGGATTCAATCCATAAGAAACAAGATGTGGTGAAAGCTGTGACATCTTCCAGAGCTGGTAAAACTGATTTAAAAGAAAGTATTAATTATAGCAAAACATACGTTTTTAAATTCAGAGTAAAAGAAGTAAAAGAATTAAAAAAACAAAAAAATAAAACCTGTGTATATTAGATTAAACTTCAAAAGTATTGTTATTTAAATGGTTTTCTTTATAATGTCCCGAATGACACTTTTGAATGTATAGATATATTTTACACAATCATTTTACAAGAACAGATCTTGACATAGAGACCCAGTGATGTGACTCACAGCCTGTCTGCTACCAGCAGCTTTATGATGAAGCCTTTAGCCTCTCGGCAAAGGTCAGCAAACATGCTCTCCTCGAAAGCCACGTTATAGTTCCTGATGTTCAGCACGGAGCTGCGATCATTCTCTCCAGCAAATGGAGAAACTCCTGTCAGACTGAAAGCAGAAAAAAATGCTTGCATTTAATAACAAGCCCACGGGTAGTCCTGAACAGGCCGAAAACTGACATTGATCATTATCATTCTGTAATACATTTAATAATGAATGCAGAATAAGAACAATTTTACTCACGACAGGTATGCAATTACTCCAATTGACCTAGGAAAATAAAAATAAAATTAGAAAAAGGCAATGTGTTAAGATAAAACAAGCAAAATGTTGAAGTAAAGCTATCCTACCAGATGTCTGTTGCTTTTGACACAGGCGTCTGACTGACAATTTCTGGCGCAACAAATTCTGGCGTGCCATATTTGCAGTATTGAGCCTCGTCGGGTGTGACCTGCAGTGCGTTGCCAAAGTCACAAATTCGGATCTGATCGCTTTGGGAGTCTGCCATGAGGATGTTATCAGGCTGATGAAAGAATAAAACAAGGATTTCATAACATTTTCTCAAATATTAAGGGCTCCAGTGCACTTAACATATAAAGTCAGACAGGACGACAAAGGACAGTGAGGATGTACCTTAATGTCCAGGTGTATAATGTTCTGATGATGAAGGTAATCCATGCCCTCGAGCATTTGTCTTATACATGAGCGTACCTGGTGGATACAAAATGAAAACTTAGCCGTATAGCAGTATATTAGATAATTCAATGATGTAAATTTGGTCATGACATTGATATTGAAATATTTAGTATAGGATTGCTATGCAGGACTTACATCAGACTCCATTACAATAGATTTCCTTGTGAATCTGTCAAGAATCTCCTCATGGCATCTTCATATATTTATTAAGGTATTTCTTACTGTGACTTTAGAAGAAGCGCTTTATATATTTTTGTATTTACTCTCCAAGGCTAATCTTGCACAAAGCTTGAAATAAGGATACAGTTCAGTGATGATAATGACTGCATTCTTGTTCTCAAAGGCGTCCTGAAAGTAAAGGACTCTCTCGTGGTCCAGCTTGGAAAGCAGGTTCATCTCTCTCCGAGCAGACTCCTTCTTCTTGGCCCGTGTGGAGATAAACTTTGCAGCATACTCCATCTTGCCAACCTTCTGGGTCACGCGTTTCACGTAGGAAAAGGCACCTCTGGAGAAAAGAAAAAGAAACAAATTAACTTAAATGTGTTCAAAATAGCTAGATGAAGGGATTGAAAGGGCCCTATCATGCACATTTTCAGGTTCGTATTTGTAATTTGTGTATCTGATGTGACGTGTTTCAATGCTTTTATGTGTGTTGGAGAGGGAACTTTGGGATTTTTCGCATTTGCAGACCATTTTAAAGGCACAGAAACGTATATAACACACTACAGGAAGGGAAAACCCTTTCCAGCATTCTATTAAGATGGTTCCAATACAGACAGTGGTTCTCTTGCATTATATTTAATCAAAAATACGGGATTTAAAATGCCTTACCTTCCAATTTCCTTGAGAATGTCATAGTTATCTGTCAGTCTGCGCATTTTCCTTCGAATCGTCTCCTCGTCATCCTTTGGCTCCTGTTTACGTGTAGCTGCAATAATAAGCACGTTTTCATTAAACAAAGGGACTTCCAAAGAATCACAAGATAGAATGGTCATGTTTGTTCCATTTCTACGCTTGTTAGCCATGCAGTCAAGATTGTTCGATTTTTGTATGGCTCGGATAGATTGACCTCTCACCTTCATGTATTGTGAGTTCGGCCTTACAGGACACAGATCCCGCCAAGTTCCTGGCGGTGCAGGTGTAAACCCCGGAGTCTTCAGGGCGAGCGTTCAGGACCACCAGGGAACACTCATTATCATCGTACACAAATGTGTAATGACAACTCTCCGACAGCAGGATATCATTCTGGAAGCAAAAAACGGTACATATTGATTTGATCTTGAAAGATTTATACTCTGCTGTAAACACTATTAAACTTAAGGATGAAAACCTTGAGCCAGAGGATGTCAGGAACGGGTTTGCCCTCCACAACCACAGCAAAGCGCGGAGTCTCCCCGGCACAAACCTCCAAGTCCTCCATGATTGTTTCAAATGTTGGTGGAGCTGTGGATACATTGCAATACCAAGTTAGATTTAGCTCTATTTATTTATAGAAATAGATAGATTTGTGCCCCTGTATTCAAATCAGTTGGATGTCGCATGGATTCATGTCAAAAACGTCTGTTTGTCATTTTGGGTTTTCGGTTGATTCTAAACAAACAAAGTCTTGGCTTTCAGAAGTTGTATTGCTTGTAGAGAAAGGGAAGACATCTTCATCGGTCACCATTAGCTCCCAGTCTGATCAAATTTGGATATTAAATATAGCGTTGAATCTTGTAAAGGGACTACAACAAGCAAACGGAGAAACTTAACAGCAGCGGCATTACAAAAGGTGGTGTGTGCTGTGTTGAATTGAGTTAGCCTAATTGATATGTCCGGTCGATGGATGCTTACTGTTGAACATTATGAGAGGCACTGCCTGCTTACAAGCTTTTTTTATAGACTCACAAAGATTTCAAAATCATAGCTAATCCGGTGGGCAAGGGGTAAAGTCCCCTCATGATATCAAGCCTGGAGCCCTCTTTTAAAATAAAGTTGGCCAAAGAACTGTCAGCAAACAGTCATCGTGATACGTGCAATATTTTTCGATATCATTGGAAAGCTTTAAAATCTCATCTTTTCAACAGTGTATGCAACTCAAAATGCTTTTCAGGGTCAGTGTGAGTGATTGTGATTGAGCAGGTCATATACAGTGGGGCAAAAAAGTATTTAGTCAGCCACCAATTGTGCAAGTTCTCCCACTTAAAAAGATGAGAGAGGCCTGTAATTTTCATCCTAGGTATACCTCAACTATGAGAGACAAAATGAGAAAAAAAATCCAGAAAATCACATTGTCTGATTTTTAAAGAATTTATTTGCAAATTATGGTGGAAAATAAGTATTTGGTCAATAACAAAAGTTACTTTTGTTATTGACCAAATACTTATTTTCCACCATAATTTGCAAATAAATTCTTTAAAAATCAGACAATGTGATTTTCTGGATTTTTTTTCTCATTTTNGTTTTCAGCTTTTCACACAATTTGCAAATCAACATGGCACTTTTTGCAAACCACTGCACACGTTTCTCCACGTAAGACACAGGAATCTGACATAAAGTCACGTGTTAGTACATTCATAACACTGATATTCAAAATGCCTCACACATGGACCAATGATCAAGAAACACGTTCCACCTGACCAAACACCTGATAGCATAATTGTTGGCTCATCAATCAGGATGTTAGCACTATAAAAAGACCACAGGTGATTACTTTCTTACAGCAACAGTGGAAGCCAACATGAAAGCAAGAGCAAGAGCAAGAGCAAGAGCAAGAGCAAGAGCAAGAGCAAGAGCAAGAGCAAGAGGAAGAGGAAGAGCTGGGCTGAGAGTGAGAGGAGGAGGAAGAGTACTCTCTAATGAAATGAAATGTTATCAACCATGGTTTGACGATGGGAGAGGCTGGACAGAGGGTTCAGCCTAATCTAAGCCAATCTGCCTCTGTAATCCGGACACTTAGACTTGAAAACAGGTTAGTTACCAGTGTTTAGCTCTGCATAATTCATGATATATCAGTGCTTATATCTGTTGTGTGAAACGTATTTACTTCATTACTGTAATTGAATTGTTGGCATGTTGCAGACTATAACTGTACAAAAATCCTGCACAATTGACTGTGGTAAACTTACCTTTATGCAACACACACACTGACCATGTTCTTTGTTGTTTATCTGAAGGACTGAGAAACAAAGAGGTGCAGGTGGAAGGCTAAGGATTTCCAATGAGGCACAGGAAGCAGCAGTTACAAACTGGGTTTTAGCAAACAATGCCATCACACTTAGATCCGAAGCATAGTAACTATGTGCTGAGATGCATGTTGCACAATGTTATTTTTGAATAAAATGTGATTTTTTTCAACAACTCATTTGTATTTCTTCATTTACTGTATTTCTGTAAACTCAAGCAATCTTTCTCTGCAGAACCCTCTATGTACAGAGCATAGCCCATAAAAGATGAAAGTGCTTTAGATTATGCTCAGCAGTGTGTAGTTGGGTGGTCAAACCATCTAGTATTATGAATGAAGTGTGTTATGGTGCTAAAGTTTACATTTGGTAAGTGTTTATGTAGTTTTGAGTGCAGTTCTTCACTCAGCAGGAGAAATGAGTTGTTTTGCACTTTGGGTGTGTGGTTTTGTGAATTGTGTTTAGTGTTCTGAGAAACTGAGACATTTAAAAAGAAATGTGTGTTAGCAATCGAGAAAAACTAAATACAAATGGATGGACACAAACACGACTTTTAAGAATTGATGTTGCTCCTCAGCTCAATGATTAAAGAAGCAGATATTACTCCAGCATTGTGTTGACAGCTCCTTTCAGCTGCCCTCAAGTGTACAAAATAAATCATTTATTCCAGGTTTAACTTTAATCTCATGCTCCATTTTAATAAAATATACCATGTGAGGAATGAGAGTTTGTGTGTGTGTGTGTGTGTGTGTGTGTGTGTGTGTGTGTGTGTGTGTGTGTGTGTACAGCAGAATATGATTGATTATTTTGTTTGCTAAGCTCTGAGTTTTGCCAGGCTGAAACAGACAGTGTGTCCGTACCACATACACAGGTGTGTATCATAAAGGCAGTGTACCGGACATCACGCTACAGTGGGCTGCAGTCGCCCGTGCACGTACAAATATATAAATAACATTAAGCATGGCTGTCAGTTATACAGTATGTAACTAATGAGTCAGCGCTATGCAATACAAAATGTGATTATTGCACAATCTAGGAACATTTTTAGTTCGTGTGTTTGATGCTAAAACAAAAACAAAGGTTGTATAATTACTTTAGATTTATTGCTAATGGAGATCTTTTTTTACAATAAAAGGTTGAATGTGTGTCTGTGTGTGAGTGTGTGTACGGTGTGTGTACACTCACGGTGGTTTTCTCCAGACAGTGCAGCAGGTGGTGGTGCTGGCTCTCTAGTAGAGAGGTGGACTTGGTTAACAGCTGCTCCTCCTCAGTGGAACTCTGCAGCAAACACACACACACATCAAATAAGTGTAATACAATTGTTTTATTTTGTATCAGATGTGGGGGGGGGGGGATGCACGGCTGGCTGCTGTCTTAAGTACCTGTTCTGAAAGGTTCATCTTGTATGGAAGTTGCTTCATTGGAAAAGGAGACAAAAGAAACACACAGGTAGAGTTTTACTGATGGCACTGAGAAAAGACAGCGGTCAAGGCCGCAGTGCTGCCAGTGAGACACAGGAAACATTACTATTCTGACCCCCAGAGGCTTGTCTGCTAACATTAGTGGAGCCAGTGCATTGATCTGTGCTGCAAGCGAGACATCTCGCACAGCTCACTCCTAGTGCATATACAGTACACATAAAACATTTCGCCTCCACTCCTGTTATTGCAAGGGCTGGCTAGAGGCAGCTCCGTAATGACTTGTTTTCCATATTCATTCTTTTCTATGCCGTGGCCTGTTTATGTATTTATTTGTTTGGGTATCTGGGCGTGAAGTGGGCGCCTTTTCCTAGTTCTGTGGGGATACGAAGCTCATTTTAGCGGTGAGCTGAGGAATAAGCGGAATAAGTGGACTGCTGGGATCATCCAAGAAAGTAAAGAAAAAGACAAAACAACACACATAACATTTGATTGAAAACTCTGCAGTTCATTGCTTTTTTTGTCAGTACAGTATTTTATTGTTATATTAGTTAATACTTTGACTGTCAATTCTTTAGGACTTTGAAAAAAATGCTTGCTCTGTGCCCAAATTAAAGATCATATTGAAGAAACATGAACAAAAATATGGTTTAAGGCTTTTATCTTATGTGCTGTTTGTTAAGTAATGCTTTGATCAAATTCCTTTTGAATTGATATTACACAGAATATTTGGACCGGAGACTTGTGGTAAATAATAATAATAATAATAATAATAATAATAATAATAATAATAATAATAAAGCTTTATTTATACATGCAACTCAAAGTGCTTTACAAAATGACACATCACAAGTTAAAAACAAACGACAAGAAATTCCCCTCAGATTATTTGTTAAGAATTTTAAAAGGTACATGCAGCAAAATATAACATTTGTAAATATTCTAATAACATCGAAGTATGGTTTTGGGAAGAGCTAATACTTCGAGAACATAGATGATTCTGCATGATATTACAAACACTGGCCACGGTAGCCTTGGTTTGAGCCTAGGAATATTTCTCCCGAGTATACTGCAGAATGCCATCATTGTTCTTGTCAGAAGTAAAGCAATGTTTCACATATACAGACTTTCAATATGTTGCATCAGTCTTCCCAAGCAGAACCTGTGGTTGAGCTGTTTGTGTACAAAATACTGCCCTGATCCTGCATGCTCCACAGCATTCCCGTAAGGAAAGTAAAATGCCATGTTTGGAAGATTGGTAGTAGCAATTTTCAGTTTGTTAAGAGGGGCGGCCGGCGTTGCAAGCAGAAGCTTCTTTGCTGATTTCAGAGCTGATGTCTCGGTTTGTCTTTGCCAAGATGCTCACCTGTTTTCACGCTGTTTATCTGTACCTAACACAGCAGTAAAACACAGGTGTTTACCCTGAGTTATTCCCGTCTTTCTCTAAACATGCGACCTAGCCCAGATCAGCAGTCTGTCTGGAGGCGGCGATGGCTCACCACCCAGGTGGCCACCATACTGTAGAGGCTGGAAACAGCTTGATCTGCTGAGCGACAAAACACACTGTGTCACTCTGCATGGTGCTGTACATGTTGCTGGTAAATAGCTGCCTCAGAATTATACTTAACTTGGACAACAGTTCATATTTTATTGAGCAGGCATTAATATTTAAATTAGTTGTTAACTGTTGACTCTTGGCAGCCAGTCTTGCAGTCCCTAGCAGCACTGGAACTCCAGTCGACACCAACGCAATGAATGTGATGGAGAGACACTGAATAAATAACTATGTATTAAAGTAAGTAAAGGTCTTGAAGTACTCATAATGTTGCACTTGCATTTTGCTAAAGAAAAAGCTATGCTTGTTGGTGAAGGGATGAAACTACTTCAACAAGAACACACTGAAGAGGTTCATGCATTGCTCTATAGAGTAATGAAGTTCCCCATATTATCTGATCATTCATTTGTGAAATTGGCATCCCTATAATGAAGTGTGCACTCTCCAAGATATAAACCTTTAAACATAATTCTCGTAATATAATACATATATGGAACTTAATTGAGTCTTTCCTAACAGTTTACCTTATAATTGTTGTGTAAAGAAGTAATTTAAGTAAGTAAAACTTAAATAAAACATTCAATAAAGCAACATTTATTAGATACTTTGCAGGCAAGCTTTACAATTAGCTTCCAGCCTCTGCAGCATATTGTCTTTTAAGGAAACCAATAGGATTGCAATACTTAACCCTATCTTAGGTTCAAGTACCAGTGCCATTCAGATGTTGTCCTAACTTATGCTTTTGGAAGACAGAGACACATTTAGATAGAGGTAGAAGGAGATGGAAGCACTTGTTTTTGTTGTTGCGCTGTCAGCCGTGGGCCACTACGGTGCTTGTGAACCGCAAAATTTTGGCGAGGCAAAGAACATCATTGAGTTGTGTTTACATTTCCTGCTGCATCGCCGGAAGCATGTTCCTCAGCTGGGCAGCTGGGCTCAGAGATGCTCACATCAGAAGCTCTGCTTATTGAATAAGATCACAGTTAGCTGCTCAGATGGGAAGCTGGCTGATTTCTAAGAATCCCTGATTAAAGGACGGGCAACACAGGCCTGCATCCAATGACTTAGTTATTGCCCGCTCAGAAATCCTGAGAACTGTTGTTCCAAGGAGTCGCAGTGGGCAAGCTATCTGAATCGTACATTTAAAAAAAAAAAATGATGTCAAATGTGTTAATACTGAGGAAAACTGCTATGAGAAACAAGTGAAGCCTGGTGTCTGAGATGCAGGGGCTGGTCTTACCGTGAACTCCAGAGCTTCGTTGAACAGGCCATTGCGTTTGCTATGGAGGAAGGCATTGGAGGTTCCTGTCTTGGCTATTCGTATCCTCGCCAAACGGGCTTTCTGCAAAGAGCAAGACACCAAAAGAATCACATGTTAGTCAGTGCCTCGACAACATCCTATGTGAGAAGGATTGGGTATAACCTGACACATCCCACTAACTTGAGCTACAGCACTTTCTTTTAAAAAAAAAACTTTTTACGACTCCTTTGTTATGTACCTTAACCATTTCCCCCAGCTCTTAAGAAATGTGTCTTCCATTACTTTCAACTTGTATGTGATTTTTCTATTATTAGGATATCACCAATAATATTAACCCATCGTCTGTAGCTAGGTGTTTCCGCCTTTAGCCAGTTTTTAGTGATAGCCTTCTTTCCAGCAGCTAGGAGGATCTTGATCAGGTATTGATCTCCGACATGTACAGATCCTTCCATATGTCCCAGGTATAACATCAAAAGGGATTCTATAGCCTAATACCTTTTATATAACAGAGTGTACACAGTCCCAGAAAGGTTGCATTTTACTGCAGCTCCAAAACACATGTGTATGGTGAGGTTCCAGACGTTTACAAAGTCTCCAGCTTGATTAATAATAATAATAATAAATGGGATTTATATATCGCTTTTCTAGACCCAAAGACGCTTTACATTATGAGTCAGGTCGACAAACAAAACAAGAACAAAAACACAAACAAAAACAAAAACAAAACAAAAACAGAAAAGCAGTCAGGAGGATGTTGGTTCAGAGGGGGGAGGGGCGGGTTTAAGGATAAGCAGAGTTGAAGAGGTGGGTTTTCAGACGGGACTGGAACAGGGTGAGGGAATCAGACTCACGGAGGTCTTGGGGGAGGGAGTTCCAGAGCTTCGGGGCTGCCACAGAGAAGGCTCTGTCCCCGAAGCTCCGGAGTTTGGCCTTGGGGATTGAAAGCAAACCGGCTGAGGTGGATCTGAGGGACCGGGGTGGTTGGTAGAGGATGAGGAGGTCAGTGAGGTAGGGGGGGGGCCAGATGGTGGAGGGCTTTATAGGTGAGGACCAGGAGTTTGTAGTGAATGCGGTGTGAGACAAGGAGCCAGTGGAGTTCTTTGAGGACCGGGGTTGAGGAGGAACAGCCCTCTCCATAGTCCTCCATAGTCCTTCATAACATAATCACAAATAATGAAATTAAGATAAGATCGAACTTATAGAATTAAGCCTGTATTTGGAGTTATAAAAGTGATAACACAACATTTTGTGGCTGTAACCCTCACTTATTTACTGTGAGTTATTATTAATGTACCATTATGTTTTACAAAGATCTTTAGGTTTATTAAAAACATGTGAATGTACCTAGGTACAGTGTTTGATAAAACAGTCAGCGTGCTAGCTTTGACATTTTGTCATGAGCACAGTGTGCTGCTAAGTGAATTGAAAGGCCATTTCCAAGCGTATGTATATAGTGTACCGGCTTATATTCGGTACGGTGATAATATGTGTAAGCAGTAATGCCTTTTCCTTTTCTCAGGAGAAAGAATCCTTAGATATTGAGTCATTCAAACTGTAGCATGTTAGAACATTGAAAATGTATTACACCAAATGTATCAAACAGAATGTATCTATTATCTTTTTGTGTAGCGCAGTGAGTAGAGCAATTAAATCCATCCCGTCCTTTGGACATATGATTGCTTTGTGTCTAAGCAGCCAGCTCACACATTTGCTGTGATGCAGAGAGCAGCGAGGAGGTCCCTTTAGCTGTTGCAGCGATTTTCCCCCTTTCTCTTGCCGACAACACAACATCGGCTCGTTAGACCAGTTGAAAAATAAGACACAGACACATGGGGAGGAAGGGAAAAATGAAACATGTCAACCAATGCTGTAGAGCAGTGATCTCTAGAGGGCTGGATCACTCCCACTGGTTTTTCTGCCTATCGGTGTGCACTGCCTGTGGGGTGGAACACAGCGGGGGAAGATGCTTACACTGTCGCTGGCTATTGTGTGGACAGGGGGGGCTCCCTCAGAGTGGATGATATGCATTCAACAGACATTTCCACCTGCGGATGGAGATCTATGCTCCGTGCTTTTCAGAAACTGATTATTTTTGAAGAAGTGCTGCCACTCTGAGGTGCAACTTGTTATATAATGGACCAAAGTGCCTTTTTCCATTTTCCTTTGCATTTGATTGAGAAGCTTTTACTTGCACGTTACAGTATATAACAAGTTGGAGCTGTTTCCTACGAGTCAGATATTAGTAGCTGGCGTTTTGATAGAAAACGTCCTGATTTAGGCGTGTAGTAATGGCTCGGAACCCCCAGCGTATCTCGGGGAATACCCTGCTGCCGAATGTAAGCCGAGACAAAAAATACCTTTTGAGGACATACCAACAGTGACCATGAAAAAAAATCCAGACCAAAGAAAAGATCAGGCAAGTGCTATTTAATGTTGTCTTTGTCGATCATCTTACTGTTTATTATCAACTGATTCAATCCTTTACTATACGTAGAACAACAATACAGTCAAATATTTTGTGGAATGTGGACCATTTTATTAGCATTACTGCTGAACTGGCCGCTCAATGTTTTGTCAACTGACAATATCAGATACAATGACAATGTTAATAGGAAATGAAGCTTCTCTGTACAGCTTTAATCAAAAGACAAAAAAAGATACCAATGTTACGGTGGAATATAATCACCTTGGCCAGAAGAAAATAGAATTAGAAATCACCAAGCTAAGCACAATGCTACAGCCTTGAACTTACTTCAAACAAATGCCAGTTATAAAACTATTACCATTATCCTAAACTGGAAACATTTTCTTAAATTAAGCAGAATTGAAAATAGAATCAAGAATCATCATTGTTTTCCTCTTCATAAAAAGTCACAACAACAAAGAGAGCAAAACTAAGACATTGACGTGGTACTCAACAAAGTATAAAGCTCCTTTTGGGGGATTTCACTTGAGCTATGTGGCTTTCTGCAGGGATTCCAATGAACGTTTTATGAACCATACTTCCCTGGGATTATTGTGGGATGTATGCACTAATACCCCATGTGCTGCCGTCATACACCTGTCAAGCCAATAGCTAATTGAGCTGTGTGATGATGTCTCTTCTTCTGGAACTTGCTTACTACTCAAAAACATTTTCTGTTCAGTAATTTAAAATTAATAAACACATTTTACTATTATTGAAAAGAGTCTCTCTAATATGTTAACAAAGTTAATTGTGCACTGCTTCTCAGGCAATGTGAACACCAGAATCCCAAAGGAAGATACTAGGGTTTGTGTAAGGAACAATGTTGTTAGTCAATCAAATTTCTGCCGCTGCTAAAGGTTTTGCATTGTATTCAGTGCCTCACAAAAACATTATGTGTGTGATGCATTTTCTTTCATAATAATTTGCGATGACAAATGTTCATTATTTTGAAACCTCTTTGTCTACATCAGTTTGTGCTACCTTCTTTGCCGTTTCGGGTCCATTGATGTTTTTGTTTATTTTATTGCTACACTTAAGTCATTAGAATACATGGTCTGGGAACAATTAATGTCTGTATCAAATATAATGCCATCCACCTTGTTGTTGTTAAGATATTTCATTTGATGTGTGGAGACTTGACCTGGCTCTTTAATGAAACCTCATGGAACCCCAAAGTAAGACACATCCTGAATGATTCCATGTATTATTTTTTTCTTTTCTGTTTGGACTCAATTGGTGGGACATCCCTCAAGCAACACCAGCATGGCTAAAATTAGTGCACATAGTATAAGTAGCAATATCTTCGTTCTTATTTAAGGCAGAGTGAAGACAGACACTTTGCCTTGCTAACTGACTGGACAACTTTTGGTTTTCACATCCTATTTTTATAATCAAATTAACAAATGGCTTGCTATTAGAATCGCTGTTTCGTCATTAGACATTTTATGACTTTTCTGATATAGAACTGGTTACTGTAATGGATATTCGAAACGAATGTGAGACTTGGATAAAATCTGCTGATGCCCATGAATAAAGCTTTGTAGATATTTTGGGTAATTCTGGGAAAACAATTGTGTTGAAAACACTTATTTGCGAATGTATCGTTTTTGGTTATACAATACCGTGTTTATATGGCCCACAGTATGTATTCTCTTACTGCAAGGGAACAACTCATAGCTGCTGTTTTTATAAATAAGTCCACCTACCGAGCAAATACCTCATGAGAGCTGCTGGGATGCCAATGACTCAATAAGGCTTTTCTATTTTAAGTTCTACCAATGACTGCATTTTCACTCAATTTTTATCAATGTTTAGGGGATGAAATGTAAATAAGGATTGTCTCTTTATGGTGTTGCTTCTATGTGCAGTATTATATTCCCTTCCTTCAATTTAACTGGCAGATGCTGATGAGAAAATTATGAATAATAAAGACTCAGCAACTATTCAGCTGCATCAAACTGAGTACATTTAGCTTAGCTGTGATAATGAGACCCTGCGGGAAACAACGTTTTAAGTCCAATAACATATTCAAGTATAGATGAGGTCCAATGCAACAGAAAATGTAAGTGTTTTTTTTTCATAGCTGATTGTGTTATAAAGACATTGCTGTATTGAAACATCACCTTCAACATGAATATGCTGTGGGATTTTTCAATTTCCTTTCTCCAAACACTAATAAAGAGTAAAGTGAGAAGGATAATGTAGTGTATTGGTTCCCATGGTAACAGCATGCTTGCTCCCTTTCTGCAGATATGGACTCCTGGGTTTCCACTAGTGACGAAAAAAAAAGAATTCATTTTGTAAATGTTTTTATACAATGAGGGATTCTCTTTACACTTGTATTCAAGCACTTGCATTATAATTCTCAACTAATAGTCATCGTCAAACCTTTCTCCAGTCAAAATATAATCTTGGGAGAATAGATTTCTTACTATTGTTTTCTATATTTTTCAGATTCTGAAACAACAGAGGATGAAGGTGACCAATACGAGACCAAAGAAGATAGTTGGGATGTTGAGGACCAGGCTGTGCATAAAGGTATCCACCATGTTTTAAGGTGCAATTAATACTTTAGATTTGTGGATTTACTTTCTGTTTTACTGATGACCATTAATGCTACAATAGTTCAACATTTATAGTCATTAATGAGAATCCTGAGATGTAAGGGGGTTAGGGATTAGGGTTAGGGTTACCTGGCCACCTGTGGGCTGCAAACAGTGACCTATTATCACTCTATTAAGTGTTTATGATAAAGATGTTAGAAGTTATATTATTCACATTTACCTGTAATGGTATTTGTATGTATTTCTTTCATTTCATTAATTCGCTCTCCTTTTTTGCCTTATTATGGATATACTGGCTTTTTGGCTGCTAAATGTGTTTACCATACTAGGTTTGTCTGTCTGCATTTGGTGCTGGGTTAGTAATGTACAGTCAGTTAAATCGTGCTTTGGCTGAAAAAATGTGCCTTGTTTTTTACTTAATGCAAGAACCTGATTGCTTTAATGTTTCCTCTTTACATGAAATGCAGTGATGGACACATGTGCAGAAGATGACAGTAGAACACATGGACATGAGGATCACTCTAACGCAACCAGGCAAGAAAGACATGCAAATAAAATAGTCGTTTCCTCAACGACGTCAATGTGCTGATTGTATAATTGGACTAAATTTCCATACTAAAATACAATACTCAGCAGATTGTGAACAAGTAACAAACTACAGATTCAAACAGATTTTGCTTCAAATCCTCTATTTCAGGAGCCAATCAGAGAATTTTTCAAGAGAATCTCCCCCACAAGCCCTCCCACCCCCATCGCCAAGACTCATCAAACGTCCCTCCACCTCTCCAATGCCAAGTCGCTCTGGTTCAACTACACCTATCAACTTGCGGAAGAAAGCTGTTTTGCCAACTGATTACCAAGACACAGTTCCCGGGGAGTTTGAAGAAAAAGTCAAGCAACCAAGATCTCTGTCTCAGAGTAACCCCCATGAGTCACGATCTCAGACTCCACTGAGCGAGTACTCCAGGAAAGAGTTCAATCTCAGACCGTCCCCAAAGCTTACGAGGGCGAGCTCAAAGGTTTTTGAGAAGGTCCGTGGTTTAGAAGAGCGGAGAAGAAGCCTTGATATTCCAGAGGGTTCGATCTCTGCAGGATCCTGGGCAGGCTTCAATCGCGCGGGATCTGTAGATTCAGATGATGGGGGAAGTCGATTGGGTATCTCTAGAGAAAGTTCAAGGGAAGATCTGAGGGAGGCTTTGAAAGAGGATGCCGCTGAGCGGAGATCTATGTTTCGACAGAGAGCTGCTTCCCTCGAGGACAAACCTCGCATCACCCAAAAAGTTCAAGACATTGAGAACAAGTTCACTGAGGAGCTCCAGCGCATTAAGAAACTAGTGGGTAGACCTCATATGAAGAAGTCGTTCTCAACTGAACAGCTCACCCTAAAGAGCAAACAGCGCCAGCCGTTCAGGAAAATCGAACCTATTCCACCACAAGTCCTTCAGAAGCTCCAAGAAAGGGAGCGTGCCCAGTGGGCAAAGGAACAGAAAGAGAAGGAACACAGTTCTCAACCAATTCAGCAACAACAAAAGATAGCAAGAACAGGTTCAACTTCTGTAACCATCAGTAGATTTGGAGAAGTTGCAGGCACCCCAGAGTCCATGCAGTTATCTGACTTACCAGGACAACGATCAGTCAGAGAATTAAGTAGAGTCAGTCCAGTAACGGAAATAGTTCAGAGATCATCGTCACCATCATTATATCATCAACAAAGGGTAGAGTCGCCGTTTCGCAAGGTTGAACGAAGGCCACCTAGTCCACTCGTACAAAGAGTGTCTCGATTGCAAGAATCCCCGCTCTTCCAAGAATCTCTCGGGTCTCAAAAAGATGAGACTTCAGAGAGAAAGACGCCAATTGAGGTCGCATTGAGAAGAATTGAAAACAGACCTGAAAGCCCACTGGTGGAAAAAAGAGTCGACATTGTGGAAGAGCTCTCTCTTCAACCTCCTTTGAAACCCCCGAGGATGTCCCCAGTTACTCCAACGGAGAACAGAATGGAAGTGGATCCAGCTAAAACTGCCATAAAGATGCGAATCCCCGCCATTATTGTTGAAGATGAAAAGATGGATGTGGATGTTCCTGTGAAGACAAGTGAGCCTCAGCAGATCACTGCTAGTGGCAAAGAGGGACGACAGACGAAGACCAAAGGGAAGAACCGTCGCACTCGACCCTTGTCTCCAGAGTTAGGTCAGATTTGTTGAGCTTCTTTCATTTGGCTGTCTGTTGTAGTGTGAAGATCCAGTGTGCTTGCTTTTCATGTTTAACCAACCAATAACTCATTCCTTACCAGAGGGGAATTTCCTCTTATTTGATCACAGGAAAGGAAATGACTCCTGGCTTGTCTTTATTTAACAGACTCTTCAGATGATTCTTACGTGTCTGCTGAAGAAGACCCAATGGAGGCCCCCGTATTTGAGTTTCCCCTGCAGGACACTGTAGCATCTGCTGGTGCAGATGTGCTATTAAGATGCATCATTGCTGGCACCCCAATTCCTGAAGGTGCTGTTGCGTTCGTGTTTAAACAATTAAAAATAGCCTCATAGATTTTTTTTTTTCATTTAGGCAATCAGTACACATATAGCTTTATTTCTGTTCTCTGTTCTCTCTGAAGTTACCTGGACGAAAGAGAATACGGAAATCGCCGGCATTGCAAATTACATGGTGAAAGTGGAGGGGGAAAGACATACTCTGCTCATCAAATCAGCTCAAATGAGTGATGGTGGGAAGTACTGTGTGACTGCTGTTAATCAGACAGGCAGAGCGACCAGCAGCGCCGTCCTTCTAATCAAAGCAGGTACGTTGACTGGGATATCAGAGGAGACTTAGGTCCCTATACACAGTACTGTTATAAGGTGGTTTAATTTTATAAAATAAAGTGTTTATTATTTGCTTGGTTTGTCAAAATGATCAGTTTCATGTAACTAAAATAATGACATGTTTTTTATTGTTTTATTATCAACACTGATGTCTGCCCACGCCACTTAGATGAAATCAGTTGTTATCATAAACTGATCATTTGTATTACAGCCAAAATGGAATCAAACCCCTCCCCCCCCCCCCCCATAAGGACATTTTAAAATATCCTACATATTAAAAAAAAAGTGTACTTAACCTTATAATAATTTTGAATTCTTGATCTTAACAAAACATGTTGAAGGTATCTTCCTGACAATGCATTGTGTTTCAGATGATTGCTCCCTCGTCATTATCTCACTGAGCAAAATGCCTGTGCCATATATTCCAGCTGAACAACCTCACTTATAGTTACCATAGCAACTCAGAGGCAAAACTGAACCTATAAATTGCCCACTGAAGCTTGCTGGCTGCACCCACTGTGAATCCACTATTGTTTGGAGATCACATTTGACAGCTCAGACTGTAATTACATTTTAAAGACCACTTTGTTTTCTTTAATGGATAAAGTCATTGAACTGTTTTTCCATTACGCCGTGCTCACAGTCACCAAAAATAAAGTTTAACTGAAAAAAGCCGATGGATAAGAAAAACACTACACCATGATAATAATGTTGTTAATTTTACAGAGTCTGCACAGGAGCCAAGGGGCAACCTGGGCTTGCCTCGGGATATCAGCAGCCCTATCACATCAGATGAGGAGTATCTCAGTCCCCTGGAGGAAGGCATGGATTTTGGAGGGCCGGAGCTCAGGAAAACTATTGACACACGATTCAGGAAACCCCCTGCATTCCTGGTGAGACTGCACAGAGCTCACTCTGATTCAATATTCAAATTGCCCTTACCTTTTAGCTTATTACTTTTATATTTTATATAAGTATATTTACTCAACTGCATTTTGATGGTATGGTGCAACATATCAAGGGATGAAATTTGACCCTCAAATTTCATCAAATATTCAGGTAGAAAGCATCTTTCACCTTCTAACTTGTATTACATGCCCCACAGGTAACGATGTGTGATCAAGCTGTTATTGAAGGACAGGGAGTCACCATGTCTGTCCGAATGAGTGGACAACCCAAACCCATGCTCTATTGGTAGGTGCCCCTCCTTCATCCAACTACTTCATCACATTGCTTGCATGGGAAACAGAAAAGACTTCCTCTGTGTCATAAACCCAGAGCAAGCCTGCTGGAGTGCATAGTTTGTTCTCGGGCATGCTGCTTTAATGCATCAGTTATAAAGGAAGTGGAAGATTCATGTTTATTGCCGCGCACTCTCAAGGCTGACAGAGAGAGTCCTAATAGGAAAAAGGGAAGAATAACAACACACTTTCTCCATTCTGCACAGTGCACAGAAACACAAATGTCTTGTTAAACTAATAAGCTCCTAGACAACTATCTAGACTGCACATGCCATGCTTAGGGCATCCAAAAAAGAAACAAGGGGGATTGCACTTCCTTACAATGGCTGTCCTTTAGTGTTTGTAGGACGCTTCCTTATGTGTTCATTCAGCCAGTGGTACTTTAATGCTGCCGCTATAGGGCAGCATCCGGCATTACTTCTATATTTGTATTATTGTCAACAAATCCAATGAAGAGACCCAAGCCTCACATATCTTATTCCTCTGTGCCATAAAGCTCTGTAGTTGTTAAGAAACAATTCAAAACACATCAATAAGCCACCCTTAAACAGGTGGCATGCTCTCTCATTCTTATAGGTGTTGTTGTTGATTTTAAGGTAATCCCACATACACCATTCTGCTGCTGTAAATATTCACTAGTGGACAGTCTTTAGTGTTGAATGAAAATGATCATGATTCATCAGTCTTGATTATCTATTGGGCACAGCTTGCTACCTTTCTCCATTTTGCTGAGAAGTTGTCCCCTGTTGCCTTATCATTAACAGGGAATACACTGGGTCTGACAAACAGTGCTTCCCACACTGACAATTGAATTTTCGGGGAAAAAAAAGGTATTTATAATGCCTATGATATAAGTATTTAATATTGAATTGTTCTCACTAATGGAATGAATTAAATATGAAAAGTAGCAGCATTCGTAGGAGAGACAAGCTGACAAACTGGGCTCACACATTTTAGGTCATTCAGACATCATACAAGTGATATGAGGAGATGCTTACACAATGTTAATTTGAATAAATGTCTTTTGAATCACCATCTATTGCTGGATTAGGAAGCCCAATGTTGATAGAGCCTACGGCCAAAGGAAGAAAGCATTAGCAATATTACTAAGCAGGTTTGTGTGTGGCGACAGTCCCAGGTAAAATTACTATCGCCAATTTCTGGGAAGTGAGATCCCAAAAAGTGCACTGCTCTATCACTAGAGAAGAAGCAGAGATCTTTTCAATTGTAGCTTTAATATAGCAGACAAGAATAGGCTGGACTTCACAGGCAGGTTCTGTCATTGGAGTTAGTCATGACCCTCGAGAGACAATAGCAAAAAAAGAACCTGCTAAGCATATTGTTGGCAGGATAATGTATCCCACCCCCACCCCCACCCCCTTCATACCAGCCAGAAGAGAGCATGTTGTTAAATAAGCATGTGCTTGGTCATCTTTCATTATATAAATTAAGTTTAAAAAAAGCTCTGAGTGGTTTATGCGTGATTCATCTCTTGTTTTAAAACAAAGCAGCCATTGTTCCCCTATTTCTACTATTTTGTAGGCTGAGGGACAGAGTCACAGTAAAAACAGGCCCACGCCACATTGTACGAGAGACAGAAGACGGCAATTTCGAGATGACCATCAAGTCGGCTGTGAAATCGGACTCTGGGATTTACACCTGTAAGATCATTAATGAGTATGGGACGAAGCAGTGTGAAGGAAGGCTCGAGGTAAAAGGTACGCTTCTTTTTAAAAGTCCAGGAATTATTCAGAACGTACAAAACAATCATGACCAGTGACACAATTCAGGTATCACTAAACAGCACTCTTTAGAAAATGTCCTGTATTTGCTCCCAGCTCCACCAGTTGAGCCAGGCTTGGCTGTCATCCGCCCGGTCAGAGACATCACTGCCAAGGCCGGGGAGACGGTTCTGTTCGAGTGTCATGTCATCGGACCCAAGGACACTGACGTGGACTGGCTCTCCGACGGGAAACTGATCCAGCCCGCATTGCTCAACTGTAAGATGCACTTTGATGGAAGAAAGTGCCGGCTGCTGCTCAACTCCGTACACGAGGACGACAGCGGCACATACATGTGCAAACTCAGCACTGCTAAAGGTAGGTGTCAGGAATAAATGTCACAATATCTCTAATGAGAAAAAGACGATTTCTCATCAACAATTCAAATCAAAGTTTAGTAAGATTTTATTAACCGATTACTCAAACTAAATTCATAATTAAGTATAACAGTAATGACGCATTATCGTAAGCAGACCCGGATTTTTGCATCGCAAGGAGCCCCTCTGCAAAAGCCAATGGGGTTTTTGCATTGGATTTTAGAATGCTGCATAATATTAGCTCTGTGGCAAACACTCGTTTATGATTTTTACACGTTTTGTTCAGCAGGATAATGTCCACACATTAAAACCACTTTTATGTTTTATATGCATTAATGCAATTGTCAGCATTAAAAAGCTAACGTTAGGCTATTTACTAACCACATCATGGTTGCCTGACTTTACATCACTACTGCTTAGCTAAAGGAAGCTAATGTTCTGCGTGATGACGTTTACTTTTGTGTTTATTGGCATATTTGATGTCGTAGCACAAAACGTGAAAAATCTCTCAAACTTGTGTTATTGATGTTATTTACGCATCAAACCTCAAATGCGTTCAAAAAACCATTGACTTTAAGGGAAACGAATGGTGTAAATTGTCAACTGATTTACAGGTTTTAGGACTCATTCCTGCACCAACCTATTTTGACTTTCATTAGCTCATTCAACCAATTATATGTATCTCTAGAATAGAAACTGACTTGAATGGTTTTGTTAATTTGTTAATTGTTAAAAATGATTAAATAGGGTTATAGGTACATGATACTTATAAAGTGTGTAGTTATTTCTCCATTATATTGAAGTTTTATGAACAAAAATGATGTAATTGCATAACTCACAGCCTTGCTTTCTTACCACCTGATTTGACTTTAGTTGGTCTCTTTTGCTTCTTCTGAATTGACATTACTACTCTCCAGAGGAAGTGACTTCATGTGGCAAACTCAAAGTCATCCCTTCAATTGAGCCTCTCTTCACCCGTAAGTTGGACATTCTGGAAGTGATCGAGGGGCGTAATGCTCGATTTGACTGCAAAGTCAGCGGGACGCCGCCCCCTAAGGTCATCTGGAGCCACTTTGGTACGATGCACTTCATAAGTTATGCACCTACTGTAGCTGTATCACATATCATCTTAACCCAGCCTTTTTACCTGTTCTAACCCTTTTCTTTATTATCTCTGCCTCTGTTGATTTTGTGATTTGTAACACACTTTCTATCTAAAGGGATGTATTAATACAGACTCTTATCTTCTTTTTAGACCATCCGCTGACAGAAAGTGAAGACGTTAGAATTCTTCGGGAAGGCGGTCGCCACTCTCTGTTCATTTCTCATGTGACCAATGAGGATGAGGGTTTTTACACCGTCATAGCCCGTAACAACCACGGAGAGGCAGAGAGCTCAGCCGAACTTTACATACAAGAACCGCGGCCCGCTATCTCCTCACAGATGTAAGAGTTATTCTTTGGATACTGAGCCATAGCTCTTGTGTATTCCATTGACTGTCTATAAATGTTATTTTATGCCGTAAGAGACATACAGGGATATTTCATCCTCTCTTCCCTTTAGGGCTAAACTGGAGAAGATGCCATCGATCCCGGAGGAGCCCGAGGTCCCGGAGAATGAGGTGGAGCGTTTCACGATGCCGGACTTCATCAAACCGCTTTACGACCTGGACGTGATCGAGGGGAAGGAGGCGGTGCTGAAATGTAAAGTGGCTGGTTTGCCGTACCCCACCATCGTCTGGTTTCACAACGGCAAACGGATTGAGAGCACCGAGGACAGAAAGATGACACAGTGTAAGGGCTTTAAAAACATGGTTAACATTCAGCCAATGCTCAGGCCTGTAATGGGTACATAAGCCTTCACAAAGCAAATGCACTCTGGGTCATTTCTTTCAGATGCCTAATATTTAGCTTTCTTATTATTACAAGAATGTTTTCGGCAAGAATGAAAATAAACTATAACTGTAACAATTTTAGCTAACACATTGATAACATTATATTACAAAAATAAAGGTTTATGTCAGTATGAATTGTATAATATTCAGACTTATACTAACCATAATTTAGACAAATAATTTTGGGATCAATAAGAATAAATAGAAAATGTACTGTATTGAATTTATAATGAATGACATATATTTGAAATTCGAATACAAAACCCTGTATATAAAAACGATGATAAAGATGCTAACTGGCCAGTATACCCAACTTCGTATAAATTCCTTTCCCTCCTGTAGTTCGTGACGTCCACAGCCTGGTCATCCGCTCCGTGTGCCACGCCCACGGCGGAGTCTACAAGAGTGTCATCTCTAACAAAGTCGGCAAGGCCACCTGCTACGCTCATCTCTATGTCACAGGTGATTCTCATACAAACCAACAACTTGAACAAGCAGATTTGTTTCGGACAAAGGCGGATCAGAAACATTTCTAATCTTCTAATTCCACTGTCATCATCTCCAGATATACTCCCTGACCCTCCGGATGGCACTCCAGTGATCGAGTCCATCACCGGGAAAACCATCACCTTAAGCTGGAAGAAACCAAGGAGGCTGGACCCTTCCATCGGTACGCAAGAAAGATGATCGAATGTATTTGTTTACCAGATCAAATGTGTCAATTCTAATTTATTTTAAATGATAAATATATATTTTTTAATATTTTGTTTTAAGCTTCCTTTGGAGTTTAGGTCACGCAATTGTTTTGTTGTTGTTGGATTGAACAAGAGTAGTTGTGAACACTGTGTTGTTGCATTTTGCAAAAGTTTTCCGTTTCAGTTTATTCACAAAACCAAAAGAAATGGCACATCTTGATCATTCTATTTGAAGCTTGATAACAGGGGCCCAGATACTAGGAAGACGGTCAGTTAATCTCTTTTACTTTGGACCTCTGCAAACCACACTGGAGCCCGTACATTTGTAGTTATTTTATAAGATACTTTTTCTTAGCCTTCATACATGCACACATCTCCAGTATATGTGAGGGAAAGTACACTGGAAGGTCACAGAGTCTGTTGTTAAGCTTATAAACATAGACATTGTGAAAGCTGTAACATTCGGTAAGGTTCAGAAGACAAACTCCCTGTTTTTCTCTACAGATCCCATCTCCCTGATGTATGCCATCCAACAGCAAGCCCTGGGCTCCATCCAGTGGACCATCATAGCTTCTGGCCTGAAGGAGACCACCTACATCATCAGCACCCTCTCCAAAGGGGTGCGCTATGCCTTCAGGGTCCTGACCATCACCTCCAAAGCCTTCAGCAAACCTTCCCCCAGCACCGACTCGGTGCAGCTCCTGGACCGAGGTACACTCATTCATTTCTTTATGAGAACCCATCCATTCATCAGTGCGCTCAAACCGTTTTTTAAATATATGTTTGTACACTTTGGTTCTCTTCTAGGCCCATACCTCCAGGAGGCTCCAGTGATCATTGATAAGCCAGACATTGTGTATGTGATGGAAAATCAGTCCGTCGCCATCACTGTGACCCTCAATCATGTCAACGCTGCCGTCCTCTGGAAGAGGTATCAGTGTCTCTTTTGTCAAGTTTCTACTATTATATATTATTTTACATTTATTTTACATTCATGTAATTTTCCTGTGATATTTCTTTCCACCATAAATAATTTATATATTTATATGCATGCATTGTTTTATTTAAAATGTGATTTGAACATTACAAATCAAATACAAATTGTAAAACGCTTCAACTGGTATACCCACAGGTGTATACAAACACTGGAATGCTGTTGTATTTGTCGTTTTCCACAGAGTTTGGGGCTAACATAGTTACATGTTATGGCGTTATGTCATTCAAATAGGAAATACATGTTATTGTAATCTATCAAAATTAAATGATGTGGCTTTATTTATATAGCCCAATATAACAAAGAATACATTTGTCTCAGGGAGCTTTACAGTTTTCACAGATCAACTAAACATGAATGACAGTGTTAAAAACATAATAAAACTACGACATAGACAATCCAAGTGACAGTATTGATAATGTGGACACATATAAAATAGCATATATCGTCATGACTGAGTAAAAATATGCAATTGAAATAGTAAACAAAATGTTACTGATTACAAAGTTGATACTCCTAGAATTTCCTTTCAGTCAAAAGATTAAAGAATAAAACATTATGTTATATTTTTAAACTTTTAATAAAGGTCAGTGTTCAGTACTGCCTGTTGCACTGATTTCAGTTTTGTGTTCAGGGCTTTTTTATTTATTTATTTACCAATTGAAAACATTTATTAAAAAAGCAATCAAAATAAAAATGACTTTAAAGAACTAGTAAAGAAATGTATTTTTTATTACATATTAAAGGTGGGGTAGGTAATTTTGGAGAAACCAGCTGGAGTGCACTAGAATTTGAAAATACACAAACGGAAAAAATCTGCAACTTCCTTACAGAGCCCCTCCTCCAACACACACGAATGCGCACATGACCAATGAGGGCACGAGATAAGTTTGTGCACAGATGGAAAGCTGACAGGCAGGTAGGCCATCCAGTTATTTAGCCGGGCCAGTTTCTCAAACTTTCCTACCCCACCTTTAAATAGGGAACGTAATAATCTCAAACCATTTGTTGAATTAAGTATTCATAGTGGGCTGAGTGTGTGAAAGGATAGTCTGGGAGTAGGACTGACAATATAAATACAGTATGACAGTGCATACAGGCAGCTGTTTGATTATAAATATCAAAGATTCCAGAGCAGTGAAGTCTATTATTGTGTCCTGACTTGCACTCAACCAAGACCCCTTACACCTGCCCACTGTTCACTCACTGCTCTCCTAACTATGACATGATTAAATATAACTTGTAAACCCTTCTCCACAGGAGGGGAGCGGTCCTCTCCAGCAAGCCAGGCCTGTACGAGATGACCATGCCAGATGATGACCAGCAAACGCTGAAGCTGCTTAAAGTGAAGAGTGCTGACATCGGAGAGATGATGTTCGTGGCCTCCAACGACTTCGGCAGTGAGAGCTGCACCTTCAACGTGGAGCTGGCAGGTGGGTGGGACACTGATTCATATACATTGGGGCAAAAAAGTATTTAGTCAGCCACCAATTGTGCAAGTTCTCCCATTTAAAAAGATGAGAGAGGCCTGTAATTTTCATCCTAGGTATACCTCAACTATGAGAGACAAAATCAGAAAAAAAAATCCAGAAAATCAAATTGTCTGATTTTTAAAGAATTTAGTCTTTCAGCATGACAATGATCCCAAACACACCGCCCGGGCAACAAAGGAGTGGCTTCGTAAGAACCATTTCAAGGTCCTGGAGTGGCCTAGCCAGTCTCCAGATCTCAACCCCATAGAAAATCTTTGGAGGGAGTTGAAAGTCTGTGTTGCCCAGCGACAGCCTCAAAACATCACTGCTCTAGAGGAGATCTGCATGGAGGAATGGGCCAAAAATACCAGCAACAGTGTGTGAAAACCTTGTGAAGACTTACAGAAAACGTTTGACCTCTGTCATTGCCAACAAAGGGTATATAACAAAGTATTGAGTTGAACTTTTGTTATTGACCAAATACTTATTTTCCACCATAATTTGCAAATAAATTCTTTAAAAATCAGACAATGTGATTTTCTGGATTTTTTTTCTCATTTTGTCTCTCATAGTTGAGGTATACCTAGGATGAAAATGACAGGCCTCTGATCTTTTTAAGTGGGAGAACTTGCACAATTGGTGGCTGACTAAATACTTTTTGTCCCCACTGTATGTATCAACTGAGGCAACCCAAAAGTAAATATATTTTCTTATCAAGAATAATGGAGGGCTGGCATTGAATGCGTTTACTT